CTGGACCCTTTTAGACTGGAGCTAAGACCCCCCCAATGTGGCACTGGCGTCTCCGGGGCTGGGGGGGGTGCGTGGCTGGGGGATTCCCCAAGTGTGGGGGAGGGATCGTCCCATTATGGGGCTGAGACCCTTCAGTGTGGGGCTGGGAAGTGGAGCCAGGAGTGGGAATTGGACCCCCAGGATCGGGTTTTGGGGCTGATCGGCGTGGGAGCTGGGAGGCCTAGGAATGTGGATGGGACCCGCTCGGGATCGGGATTCAAGACTGGGACCCCTCAGTATGGGGCTGGGATCCTCTAGTGTGGGGCTGGGTCCCCAGGCGGTGGGGTTGGGATGCCCCGGGGATCAAAATGTGGGGCTGGGGGCCTCCCGGGATCGGGGTGTGGGACAGGGGCTCCCCCGGATGTGGGGCTGCGACTTCCCAATGGGGTTGGAGCCCCTCAATTTCCCCCCGATAGGGACTGGGTACCACCGTGGTGGCACTGGGGACTCTCAGGGATCAGGGTGCAGGGTTGGGACCTCCTATTGTGGCACTGAGGACACCCGGGCTGGGGGTGCCTACTGGCGCCAGCGGAGCCATCCCTGTCCCCATCCCAGTGGCATTGAGCCCGGCGGCGCCTGGCACCGGCCGTGTCACCCGCGCGCTGGCCGGTGCCACTGTGTCCCCGCGGGGGTTGGGGACATGGAGGGCGGGTAGGGGCATGCGTGGGGGACCCCGATTGCATCAGTGGTGACCCCCCCATCTCCCACAGGTGGCCCCGGTGTTCCGAGGCGATGGCCGACGACCGAGGTATGGCAGTGCCAGCACTGCATGTCTCCCGTGTTTCCCCTCCTGGGGTGGGGGAGGCTGGCGCTCATCCGCAGTGTCCCCCCAGATGTTCGATTTGTCACTGAGGAGAGCTTCGACTTTGGCTTGCTGTCCCCATCGGACAGGTACAGAAGGGTAGGAGGAAAAGGGCACCTTACAGCTGGGGACATGGGGAATAGGATGGGACATGGAGGACGGGGGGAAGATAGCACCTCATTGTCAATGTCCTAGGGGACGTGTCACCCCATGCATGGGGTTGGGGGGGGGTGTGGCAACTCACAGTTGGTGTCCTGGAGGCCACAAGGAACAACACACCCCAAAGATGGGGTCCTAGGGGATATGTCACCCCATGAACAGGGTCCTGGGAGTCCTGTGGACATATCTCCTTCATAGATGTGATTCTGGGGGTCCTGGGGGACGTGTCACTCACTGAATGGTGTCCTGGATGGCATGGAGGGCTCCTGCCACTTCTTGGCAGTGGTGTTGGGGGCTGACACCACCTTTCCCCCTACCCCCACCCGATCTGAAGCCAGGAGGAAGAGGAGGATGAGGATAGCCCGGGCGGCGGGTGCCGGCACAAGGGCGGCAACGGGCGCTGGAGTCCCCTGCACGGGGCCCGTCTGGAAGAGATGGTGCGGGAGGCCACG